TCATCAGCCCCACCTGGAAAGACTAGGAGAACGAACCAACAACCGCGCTCTACGGCAGCCAAACAGGAAACTGCGCAAGAATCTAGCCAGCCGCCTCCGAGCGGTGCCCGCAAACAGCCTGACGCGAGCACAACTTCTGCTCCGTCTCGTTCACGTGCCCGAACCGTAACGGATGCGGGGCCACTCGTCAGCGAACAGAGTCTACCGTTCGAAGAGTTAAAAGCTCTGTTAACGAGGTCAGCTTTTTTTAAGTTTTTACATCTAGAGTAGGCTATCTTTGGTGCATTGCATTTATCCCTGTCAGTTTACGGATGGTCTGACTTTTTTTCGGTAGTCAAATTTTCCTCGTCCATGCCAATTTTGTTTCGCTTGTTACTCCCTCGCCCCCTTACGTCACCTGAATTCACCCTTGGAGGAGGATAGAAAAGGACAAGAACTCCCAGCCTACTATGGATGTTATAAACCTCTTTGTTGTGGATACCAGCACCTTACTGTTGATGTTCGCATTAGCAGAATCTCATTGTAGCGATAGTACATTTCCGTGTGATCGACCATCCTCAGCTCCCTCAATTCTCCCTACAATCAGTCGTATGAGCCTTCTGGAAGGTTTACTATGTCTTGTAGGTAGGAAGTAGGCTAAACGACAGGGTACGATTCGCGGCAACCTACACAGCCCCACTTATGCCTTCCCAACCCAATACTTCAGGGCACAATGGATCGTTTTCCAAAGGAGTGAACTAGTCAACACTCGCGGTCACTGTCTTGGTTGAATGCGGTAAGAACGCAATAGCAAACAGAGACAGTCACGGCCTTACACCCACGCTCACTGTATCTTCCAACGCTCACCTCTTCACCTTCTTTCTCATACGGGCGAAAAAGAGGACTGTGGCGCCTTAGTACTCAAATAGTCCCTAGGGGATATAGTGGAGATTGCGATACTCATTGGTTGGAGTGGAGTGAGTAGGCCTCCTCCGACTTCGAAGTTGTTTCACACAATGAGTCCAGACACTGCTTTCTGTGGCAGCGGATCTGTGGAATTTGATCCACTATTCTCCACTTGGAGAGGGCTAACACCTACTGTTCAGGAAGCCCCTCGACATCTTGGCAGACCTTGTCTTATTAGCTTTTAAACGGTGCGCCTCCGCGCCACTTCGCATGAGGTGGTGGTGTTAAGCTTGGATAAACGGCACGGAATTCATTGTATATTAACCGGGAAAAACTCTCGATCCACAACCAACCCTATTTTCTGCAGACCTTAGTCTTCTCCCCCCCCTCCCGGTGTTGTTACAGAAAGTGTAAACGGTACTACGTGCTTGTTTCGATCATTAAGATGGACTAGATTGAGGGGTGAACGTGTGCCATATGCAGTGAAGAATGTTATTTCATGTAAGGGCATATCCACCTTGAATACGGCACGCCACTCGATTATTTGCGCCCTCTTGCGACTCCGGTCTTCTTGACTTCATTATGACACCGTACCCATGTGGGAGAGAGAGGAAGAGAGTGTGGTAGATGCAGCGCAAGTCTACTCTCATTATAATCTAGTTCACACACAAGTCACCGTCCCTGAGGTACAACTGGCCCTGGATGAATTTATCTACAAAATCTTGGTAAGAATAAAGTCATTTCACCCGCCTTCACAACCATATTTGAAGTACCAGGTCAGTAAATATTTGTTTCAGTGCCAGTCATTTGTTGAAGATAGACACGCGGCCCTGTTCAGTGGAGGGCAGTAGTCATTCATGATTGTCTTATCAAGCAACAAAGCGAAATGAATGGATCATGGGGCTGCTTGACTAATCGCTTCGCTCATTGTGGCCTTTTAACTTGCCAGAAGCATTGAGCAGATCGCTGCGATTTAATGCTGTCAACACTTCTTGTCACCACAGATGAAATCCACTCTTATACTAATTACCGGCCGGCGCAGGGGTGTGAGCGGAAACGAAAGTGACCGCAGCGCATCGTTGTGGTCGCAAGTATGCTAGCTGGTCATTGACTAGCTCTACGTGCTTGTTTCGATCATTAGCATGCGACGGTCATTCCATTCGGATGTATTAAGGAATGCTACGGCCTGCTGTGTTGGAAGAAACAAACGTCCTTTCCGGGAATTTGGACTTCAAATAAGTGTCAGCTACTAACCTTATATTGATCAATACTTCTCATTGCATGACTTACATCTCAGAGTCAGTAAACATTTGTGTGCGCTAGAACTCAGTACCAAGTGCCTTATGCCGACTGGGCCTTCCAGGTGGCTTGCTGTTTGTTTCTTGGAGGGCGTCGGTTGCCCCGGGTGCCGTTGCGAAGGTCGTGCTGCTTTGGTGTCTTTCAGCAGGTTTCGTGGGAGTCACCTCAATCATCCGCAGTCGCCAAGTTCGTGTTTTCGGGATTGGCTTGTGTGCTTTGGCTCGCTGGAAAGGAAATGTTGGACAGTAGCGACAGAAAAGCATATTTAGAGCTGGTTCTTTGCAGCATTGGCGCCATTAAACTTAGAGGCGCTTTATAAACTCGTAGGTGGGCCAGGCCTTGACCCTCTGGTAGCCCGGTCCGGATAGATCTACTGTTAGACAGCTTTATAACTGTGGTACTTTCCTCTACCTAAGTTTACAATATAAAAGAGACGCAACCTAAGGTGCTGATTGCACTTCCGTCTTTTCTTTCGATAGTCACGCCCAGGAGACTGTGATGACTCGGGTGAAATCAAGCGTCTGGCGGGAACGTCTCTCAGGGATGGAGGATCTTTTCTCAGTAGCATCTTCATTCGACACATCCTCCGCTGCCTTCACGCAGTCTCTAATTCGGTGGTTGCTGGAGCCACCTGGCCTAAAGGACTCGAATATTCAGGTACCCCACCTTTTTAGTTTCGTCATTAATTTCCCTCAGAAGGGCCACTGCGAGTTTTCTTCTACAAAATAACTTTTCGCAATTTTTACGAGTTCATGCTTCCCCGTCTTTGTCTATTAGTACTTCTTATCTCTTAGGGGTCACGTTTTTCTCGAAACCTTTCTTATTTCGGTTCTTCCTTTCACCGGGGTTTTATTGCCTTTCTTTTAGGTCAGATGTCGTCTTCTCGAGACTCTAGGAGCATTTTTGTCAGCAGTGCGACAACCATCTCTCTGTGGCTCCTTGGTCGAGACCCTAGTTATAGGTGCGACCGATGCAATGGTTGAGGCCAAGCAAGTGAAATCGTGCGGTGACTGTCTTGACGGTTTAAAGAAAGCCGCTAGTTTGGATATTGTCGCGGAGTTTATTCTTCGCCGTCTTGAGAACATGAAGAATCCCAAATCCGTGCTTCACTCACTTGGCTGGCTCGTGGGTGCGCTAGATAAATCAGCGGCACGGTACGTGATATATTATTAACTCAAAGTTCCTACTTATTTGGTTTGAGTAATAAACACGTTAACGTTGTAGATTGGATAGGAAACTTGTTGTCGAGTGCTTGAAAACAGGATTCCAGTCACGGGACGGTGGCGTGCGCCAGGCCTTCATAACTCTTGCGGGTTCAATCTACCAAAGTCAAGACTGCGATCCTACATTGCGCCAACAGCTGGACCCAGGACGCAGTGCACTGTCATCTCTCCTTGATAACGAGTTTAAGCAGCGCGATCAGGCATTTCTTGCAAAGCAAAGACAACCGGACTCACTGGCTGACCACTTCGAAGACTGCATCGAAAACCGATCAGATCCAACACGTCCTGCAGCCTCTATGAGCGCAGCAGAGCGGAAAAGTCGTAGGTACGAGTACGCTTTGCCGGCTAACTGGTGTCTGTAAAACACATTTATTTGGAACTGCTTTTTATTTATTACAAACTGTCACGAATAAGCAGTTATATAACCTGTTTTGGTTACAGAGATTGCCGTTGGTGACTGAGAGTTTTGTCCTACCCAGGAAATCAGTATTCCCTGTGTTTATATCCTTCCTATAATAGAATATTCTCTATCATTCTAGGGTTACCACAAACCTAGAAATGCCGTCACATGCCCTTCTCGAATCCGTACATTTGTCGCACATGGAGGACAAAACCTTGCTGTCTGTTGAATACAGTGAAAATGAGGCGTGTAAAACCTTCCAACTTGCCTCTCCGGCAGTTCCCATCATGACCTGTGATCCGGAGGCCAAACA